TTAATCGATCATGACATTCGCATTTTTCAGTCGATAATACTTCACAAAACTGAAAACATCCCTCGAAGGAGATTGTAAAGCATAACAAAAGGAAATAAAGGACAGTTGGCAACCGTTGGAATGTCGGTCACACACTTTCATTATTATGCCATACTGACGCCCTTCTTTTTATGAAGTTGGTAGTGCAGTGCCGACCTGCGTTTCTATGCCATCAACCAGAAGTGCCCTGTTATTAAAGACACAGTGTACAGCCTTGTGGCAAGCGTAGTATAGTCTCTTGTTTCCTTCCCTCTGAGTGACCCTGACAGGGGAATGGCCCCACCTGTCAGCACTGAACTCAACGCTCTACTGACTGAGCAACCACGATCTGAAGCAATCTGTGGTAAACCCCTTGCATAAAGTAATTCGTGAATAAGGCAGACACTGCTCATGAACAGAATCAAACCCGGCACCTCAGGCTCCTTAGACAGTGTCACCACGCTTCAGACGACTACTGGAACTGGCGTTAGACAACCAGAGACAGAAGAGCATTATGAGGAAAAACAGCAACCAAATGAATATAAATGGTATGAAATGGTAAGTGGATGCTGATACGTTAACGGCGTGCAATTATGAACACCTTTTTACCACCAACACGGTGATGTACATAATTACATCCATTATCGCAATAGTCTAAGTTAGTCATAATCGACCTAATCCATCATGGTATAAGCTGACTTGTTTTGCATGGTAGTGAATGTTCAGGTAAAACTGAGGAGCAGAGCAGTCAGCTGTTCACTAAATCGTTGTTTGCAAACTGCGACTCTTAGAATCAGGAAGAGCTACAAAATCAGTTTGGAAGAGCTGCCTGGAGCAGCTGCACGGCAAGCCGAAATAAATGAATGAATCGCTCTAAACGATACTGAGTATAACTTTGTATACTGATGTAGGATTTGCGAAATCATTTCACGGTGTGGCACTGCTGCAAAACTCATATCCATGGTGCACAGATACTATGGACTGCGTAGAATGCAGTAAAAAATAAACGACAACCACTCGAAAGGTCTGATAATGCAAAACTTAACGCGTTTTTAACTAACTTTGAGAAAGATAATTCTCTAGGCTTGGTTTACAAATTACTGCGTAACTGCAGCAAATATCAAATAGGAGAAACAAGGAACACCTTCACCCACAGAACAACGATACATCTCTCAAGCTGGAAAAGACGTACGCAAACAACATGCGGCAAAAAAGCATCCGGGAATAAAGCGAATCCTCGCCCCTAACCAGAACAATGTGAAAAGAGCTCGAAAACTGTGCAACGCCAACAGAAAAACGTCATGTTTCCCACTGGTCAGATCGCATGGACATCTTTAAAAAAACTGGCTGAAAAGATGCATCACAGGCATTAATTATCCAATGCTGCTAAAATGTCAGCAGGAACAAATGGATACGAACTTGTGCGAGTTGAACATGCCTTGGCACTTCTATTGCCGAAAAACCACTTAACAAGCAGCAGTGACCAACAGCACCTCTCTTGGCAACGAACTTTAGAACAGCTGCGGACCACGAAACGAGGGCAGTCTTTGTCTTGTTCATGAATTCCCCTGAGCAAGGCATCGACTACAGATTGCTTCTCATCTGGGTTGCTCAATCGCTAGAGCGTCAATTCAGATAAAAGGTCCAGAGTTGAAGCCCTAATAGGCGTCTCTCGCCTTTCTGCATCTTAAGTTGATAAATTAGTACCACTCATTGGGAAGGAAGCAGAATACTAAACGCTCTGCAGGCCACGTGGCTATAGACCATGCATTTAAAATAAGGCCTCTCGGCTAATGGCATAGAAACGGAAATCAACAGCGCATTATCAACTTCGTGGAAAAAGGGCACCAAAATGGTCCCACCAATCGATATTCCAATGGTAACAAATTTTCCTTTCTTTTCATTTCCTTTCTTTTATTCAATAATGCTATAGAAAGGAACACCTCTGAGTAAACACTGCACTGTACTGCATGATTAGGACTATAACTCCAAAGTAATAAAAAGGCGTACACAGAGTTACAGAGAAATATTAAATGGACTTTCGGTAACTGGTCTTCAACGTTCTCGTTCTGAACAACGGGCAAATTCAGAAACGGTGGATCAGAATTTTGGGGTGGTTTGGCTTTGCAACTTACAAGTGTATGATTGGAATCCTAGAGTTCCAAAATGCTGCCTTCTCAAGAACCAGTTTCTCCAAGAAAGTATTTCCCCACGTTCGGTCTTTCTTTACAAAAGGCAAAGAAACGGGTAGCAGGTTGTTCAGCGGCAAATAATATGGACAGCGTGGTATTCTGATGTTGGCAATGCCAGAACTAAGTAAACGAAGGCAATGTAAACGTCTTAAGGCTCCAACTAGAAATAAATCCCGGATCACTAATTAAATATTAGCGCAAGATGTATCATAAATTTAATTAAAAATTAAATTTTAATTAAATAGTTGTGTTTAAATAGTTATGATCACCTGTTTCTTATCCGTAATTTAAGGCAAATATGAAAATATGACATCAATTACTTTGGTCATCAAGGTTCAGCCTTTCGTTCGAGTCATGAAAAACGGACAAAGTCCAACGTAAGGAAATGCTGTTGGCTTGGAGACGCTAGTACTTAGAGGCTAAAAACAGGAAGCGACGAAAATGAAAATTTTTAAATCG